TCGGAATGGCTTTGGTCTTGCAACTATTTTTCGAAGGCTAATCGATTATGTTGATATTTCTAATCCGTGGTTTGGATTCAGGATACTTTAAGTGGTCTGAATCAGGGAGGCTTCGAATACGACCCTTTCAAAAAACGTCGATGCCGTCGACGCTGATCTAGTATCCAGTCGTAATATGATGATGGGCCGGTCAAGAATTTATTTCTATCTCTTCCATGCTTCTTGGCCCTCAACCGCTGGTTACCTGGATCGATTAGATTCAGCAACTCCAAACCGCAATCACTGTGCCATCTTGTCAAAGTATCGTCGGTTGGACGGAATCTGGCAGTCAATCTGATACATTACATTCATTCGGTCTTCAGGAGGTACCGGTCTTTACCTTAGTTAGTAGTGATCTTTGCTTGATCGATTCTGACAAGCCCGGAAAGTGGAACATGCGGGTGTAAATGCGGGGTACCTGCTTCGTTGGATGTTCATGTCCAATTGTACACCACGATGCTTTCCGAATAAACCTTTTTGGATATCCATTTCGTCCCAGTACGTCGTAAGCTTGCTTTACTTCCATTCGAGTCCCATCGTACGAACACGGGACATGGATCGATCCAACAGGCATTTCATTAGCTGCAAGATGAAGAATGAAAATTCCATGCGAAACCCAGTTCCATCAGAACAGGAATGCGTAGTGTGTAAATATTCCATGCAAAAGTTTTCCATCGTAGTTCATGTCTCCCGGAAAATGACATATTTTTCCACTGTTGCATTGGTTCTAATAAACAATTTCAACCGATTCTCGACCATACACACATATCAAAAATAAGGACAGTTTCGAATGACGGTCGACTTGCCAATGCAGCCATTGCGTGAATCGGTTTTTCGTTCATGACGTACAGAAGAGACAGAAAATGCTAACTTGGTTGGGTCATCTCATAATCACTATGATCAGACCTGTCGGTCGGTGACGAAACAAATGCATACCCATCGGGCGTTTTTCTTTCGCTCATTTCTACGGCTACCCGCGCATGCGGATGGTGGGCGTCGACGACAAGTCAAGAATGCAAATTAAAAGTTACGTGCGGAAAATTGGCCCCTCTCTTATGGCAGAAAGGGGGGATCGGTGGTTTCCGGTTTCAGGCGCGACGCCGAACAAAGTTTGTCGAACCGACCGAGCGACGACAGAAGAGCGCAATTGACGGGACCGAAAAAAGTCCCAGTCGTAAACCGCCAAGTACAAAACAGCCGACAACGGTTATCCAAACCGTCCCCCTCAAACAAAGCAGTATAAAAATGATGCAGTATCTCAAAGGATGAGAGTCTTGCATCAAACATTTAACCAGACTATGATCAAGATAATAAGGCTTAAGGCTAAACAACGTCAAAGAACAAGAAATCATTTAAAAACGAAAAACAGCATAAAACGGTCTGCAACAATATCACAACATGGTAGTTTGTCGCTTGACACAGTGTTATGCTAACTTCGACTCATACAGACTAAAACTATACACCGACATTATCTAAAATCTAAGGTTACAGCCTGCAAACCAGACAGTCGATTGCGTTAACTCATTTACCACACACTGTACATATTCTAGCTCTTCTAGCAGAAATGCGGAAAGATTCGCACCTCAGCAATTCATCGATGGTTATTCAGAAAACACGGGCAAGCAGTGAACGCAACGCGGACACCCACAAACATCTATTCAACACACCTCGACAGTAACTCTGAAAGTGAATTACTCGGGTTACTGAGAATGGTGTTAAGTGGCAGCATTCAAAATCAAATCCTTCGAGTAGTCAAATATATAATGGACAGAATGGTAGTGAGATATGGAGATTTATCATCCCTTACAGATGGTAAATTCTTGCTTGCTAAAACTCACATGACCATGGCAGTACTGTCATAACATACTGTCTCCAAACGGACGCGTATGTATCATCCACATCAACCTACAGTATCACATTTCTCGTTAGCTGACAGTCTGAAGAGTATGTGATAAGCAATACGCATTCGAAAAAAAGCAACATAAAAACGCATATATGCCAAAGGATCGAAACAACTGTTCGACCCAACAAGTTGTTGTTTGCGCCGATGCACCACTACAACCCTTAATGTAGCGGTGGCCTACCCAAGCAAAGAAACAGTGCGACTACGACGTGCGAATCCAGAGAAGCGAAATGTTAATGAAATCAATGCATCCTTACACGAGTTCATTCAGTGTCATAGGCTGTAGGGACGAGTGAGAGATAATACACAAAACATACACTACCACTGCCCTCTTCCATGAATAAATACTAGAGATTTATACTATTATTGTATTCCTTTATACCGGGCATACATTTCGTATCATTCAGCGCATTCCTGTACAGAGAATATGTACATTATTTATGCTACATGCTAACATGTTTCAGAGAAAATGGATTATGACATAGAATAGACCATATGCAGCCTTCACATAAAAGAACAATTCTGAATATATAAGATGACCAGTGGATAATTCTACTATACGTTTCTTGGCCATATGAATCAGTGAACGTTTTGGCCGTTCGTCTGGTA